AATGTGTTTCCTTGTGGATCTCTTTGATTTTATTCTGCTTGGAGTTTGTTGAGCACCTTGAATGTGTAAACTGATGTCTCACCAAATTTGTAAAGCTTTTAGGTATTAGTTCTTCAGGTATTCTTTCTGCTCTGAGTTGGGCAAAATAAAAGCCAGCCCTTACACCAGTCTTTCTGGGAACTGCTAGACAGGTAAAACAAACAAACAAACAAACAAACAAACAAATATAACCTCAGTTATTTGAGAATAAGGTTTTGTTTTGCTCACTCTGCACTAACAACCTGCACTGGGAACATGAATTACCATCTTCATGGATACCATCAATCTAGGGAGTGCAGGATGAGGTGGCCAATTTAAAATGCAACAGCATTCTCTTACTGCAGGGTGACAGCAATAAGTATCACAGTAAGTGTGACAGCCTCTTTCTTTATTAATCTTCCTACAAATTCTTGACTACATTCCAGAGTTTTGCAAAAGTTGATTTAAGCAGGATTTTTTCTAGGTTATTAGTTGATTTTTACAGCTGGATGGAAGCTTTGAGTTCTCTACTCCACCATTTTCAGTGATCTCACTTCCTTCTTTTCCTTTTTGAATCCTTTATTGGATCTCTAGATATTCCCAAAAAGTACATGTTACAAATCCTATTTTATTTTTATTAAAAAGGGATTGTATATTATCTTTTGGCCCCCTTTTCACTGAATACTGTTTCAAGTCATCCGTATTTTTGTGTGTGATATTGTGGTTCATGTTTTGACTGCTGAATGGTATTCCAGCATAAGAGTATTTCCAGGAGATTGTTTAGCTCTTACTGTGTAAATATTTTGTTTGTACGCCTTAATTGAGGTGAGGTAGTATAAGAGATAGCTTGTTTTTCCAGGTACCAACTAGCAGGCCAATTTAAGGCACCTAGTATGTGCAGCATGGTACCAGCCTCTGAAGGGATGTTGGTATGGGAGGGTGGGCCCAGCTGGTGCCTAACTCAAATGTGAGATGACAAGGATGGGCGCAGGCAGCAACTATTTGTGGACACGAAAATGGAGGGGGAGAATTCCAAGGCACCACTGAGGAAGAATTGCTGACAAGCTTTGCAGGAAATTGTATACTGATGGTAAAGGATCAGAAATTGAAATAACCTCTCAGGATCTCAAGTCTCAGAGCTGGGGTAGATGTGTTTGGGGGAAGGGATGATTCTAGGAAGAGAAGCAATGGAGTTTTGAAAAACAACAAGGCAGAGCAGGATTTACATCATATGAATGTCTCAGCATCTGTTGCTCTTCAGGCTACTCCTGGATCAAGGCAGGAGTTTTACCTCTTGTCTCTGATTTTGGAATGCTTTTCCTCTCTAATCTAGTTTGCATTTTCCTGTCAGATAGAAAACCACCATTTGCTTGACTCCCAGCATGGCTCCTCGCCTGCCTTCCCAGCCTTCCACCTCCCTGCCCATGTACCCCACAGCTCCCAGTAAAGTTGGGGCAATGCTCCTCTGCACCAGCTCTAAGCCACACTGGGACTTCGTGGCTGGTAAAGTCCCCACGGCCTTACCATCTCCCTGCTGCCTCTGAAATGCTGTAATTCCTTTGGGGTCCAGCTCAGATCCTGCTTTTTTTCCATGAAATCTTTCCACACTTTCTTTCTTCCTTTCCAGAATAGCCATTGTATATGGAGTGCTTATTTGGATTTTTTTTACTGAACCAAAGTCACATATTGTTGAAATGACCTAAAATTTTAAAAAAATTTATCTTTCTTTCATAAATAAGTTATTCATGTTTTAGAATGATATATGTGGGAAGGGCTTGTGCTTCAATTAATGAGAACAAAAGTAGTAAATCTTTTGCAAATATTCCATGGGGTTATTATGCCATTTAGGTTAAGGGAGTTTCTCACCAAAGTTGAGAAAAGTTTGCACCTAAATAGCATTTAAGAAGTGACTGTGAACTCCACTTCTGTATCCAGAGTTTTGGGGTCATCAAAACTGCATTCTCTCTTGCCTGTGGCAGAGCCATCAGGCGTGGCAGGTGCAGGAGCTGGTCAAGGGCACCCTCTGGCCAGGTGCTCTCCACTAGGTACCTGGGGTCAGGTGCCCTCAAAGCCCCTTCTTAAACTGGACAGTCCTTGCATACACTGCTTACTGGAAACATAGCCATTTGCTTGGTATTTTATATTCATGTGGTATTTTATGTTTTAATATCACAGGCAAATCTGACCAAAATGATATTTGTTTTCAAAGCCAAGTTTCTTCAGAGCTTGTCAGCAAAGCTTCAGAGTTGAAGGTTGCTGCATGGAAATGAAATCAACTGTGGGCCTTTGACACAACGAATTAGACTTAGGTAATCAGTGGAGCTTGGGGGGAGTGACATTAGGACAATTCATGCGTAAGGGACAGCATGTGCGTAAGTCAGGTTTTAATTTGAGTTTATGATGGCAATGTCCCCATTGGTTCAGTTTTCTAAGTCAGAAGGGGGTAGATTGAAGCCACTGTTTTAACTCTTGGTGCAAATGCAATTTTTTTTCTCTAACTGGTAACATTTACTAAAAGAGGGAAATCTTTTGATTGATTCAGCATTGCTACGGCCTTGCATTTTATCCTTATACCTAAGAAAATCATATATTACGTACATAGAAGGTGCTTACGTAATATTTCATTAAGGTCTTATTGTATACCGGCTCTATGCTCAATCTTCATCCTACCTGAATGACCACATCTATTTCTCACAATGATGCTGTGAGATAGGTAATCATTTACTCTGCTTTACAGATGACGAAGCAGGAGCTGAGAGGTTAGGAAGCCTGTCCCAGGGTGGATAGTGTGTTAGAGGCCAGACGACTCCAACCCTGAAGCCCGCACTCCCACCACCACGTTCTGTGTACTGCTTATTAACATCTATGGGCTGAAAGAATATTAGGTGGCCTAGATTTAATGGGGATGTCATACGAGACTCACACATAAGATGGGTACTGAACTTGGTGCTTCCAGATCCTTCCCTCACTCTGAATTTGTGTCCAGACTGCAGAAGCCATCTGCTTATGTCTCCGAAAGCACCACTTCCCTGTATGAGACACACCCTTCCGCCCCATGCTTTTAGTCATTCTGGAATTCAAAGGATAGTTAGGCAGCTTTGTGTTCCGACTTCTTGCCAGCTCTGGGACCTTGGTGAGTACTTGCTACTTAAACTCCATCTTGCTCTTAAAGCAGAGTTAAAACATAATGGCCATAGTTCTAGCTGCTAGGCTAACCTAGGTCTATAGTTCACATTAAACATTAGCTCATATTGCCTCCAGGTTTGAAACCAGTGTACCCAGAAGAAATTTGCAAAGGGACAGTGATGTTGAAATATTTTAAGTGCAAACAGGAGGACTCCTGTCTGCTGACAAGGACAAGGCTATGTTGTCTAAAGTCCCTATTTGATCCTCATTTTTCCGTCCCTTCCCAGTGGCCTTTTCCTCTCTGGACCTTCAACAATCTTGTGCCTGAGCATTCCAACGACTCTTTCTTAAATGCCTCTGATGAAATATGTATATGTAGAATCCCTTACTTCATCTCAAAAGAGGTCACTTTTATATAGTTTCTCCCTGGGGGGATAGTGTTGCTACTGCTGACGAGTTGGCAACACTCAAGATTTGGAGCACCAGAGAAAAATTTTTAAGTGCTCATATTCTGAGTATAGAGGGGATCTGGGCAGCAGAATTGTTAGTGGGGGGTTACTGCACCCTAACTTTTGCTTCCCACAGTCCAGTGTTTGGTGCACAGGCTTTTGGCTGCTTACGTTTTATTGCCTTCTAGCGGGAACTGGTTTCTCCACCCATTCCCACTGTCTGATCTCAATTCCCTACCGTTGCGCTGGCCTGAGGATGCAGCTAGATCTGAGGGTGGGAGAAAATGAAGAGAGAGAGAGAGAGAGAGACGCTGTCATTTAGTGCATGAATTGGCTAAAGATGTAAGCCTGTCCACTTCTTTTCTTGGTCAAAGCAAAAAAAAAATGTGTAGGAGTTGTGAGCAGGTGTTGATCAGGTATACAGAACTGAATAGGTAGATGTTTAATTTATCTTATGGGAGCTTTGGGAACTTGGACTCTGATAATTTCCCTGTAATGAATCTTTCTCTCAAGACTCCTTTTCCCAAAAAAAGCATTTTCTGTAACCTGTCCAGATACTTCTTAACATCTTGCTTGTCAATGTGACTGCCAGCATCTTAGAGACATTGACTATTTAGGCGATTTCTATTAGCAGAAAAATATGGGCTCAAAAGTTTTTCTTCTCAATGAATGTGTTGTGTAACATCCAAGCTGACTCAGAATACAGGTGCATGCTTTAGCTCTGAGAAGGTAGAAGAAGGGGGAGAGCCCAAGCCCGACAAGGTGTGGGGGAGGAAGGACAGCACCCAATAGCACAGGCCACCCTGTGTTGCAGTCTTCGCCTAAACTGTATCTCTGGGAAAGATTTCCTGGCTGCCTGTTTGTATCCCTGAGTCACCACAGACCCCCGCCCTCCAACGTGGGATGTTAACCTTGGAGCAATATGGAGATTAGCCGCAGAGCTGAAGCAGAGTCCCAAAGGAGCTTCAGTTCTGCAGAATCTACACAGCCTACTTTACCATACATTGGCCAGATGCTAGCGCTTGGGACGTCCGAGCTGACAACTGGAATCCCTCAAGGTAAGAAGAACCCCCTCCCAGGAAATGGACTCCTCCAATTTTCTCACATGATTATTCAGGCACTTTCACTCTTCCATATATAGGAGTCACTCAGGAGCAAGCTGTGACCAGTCGGAGGGAGTGACACATCTGCGCTCAGTTCCTCCTCACCATCCTCACCTCCTTCTCACGTGCTTGCGGGCTGTTCGGCAGAAGTGAGCCCCGTGGCTCTGCCAAAGACAAGCCTGTTGCGTTTACAGAAGGGGAAAAAAAAAAAAACCAACAAAACCAAAAACCCAAACAAACCTCGGGCAAAGTCACGGCATTGAAATCGTTATCCTGAAGAAACTGCGCGGAGAAGTGTGCAAAGATGAATGGCCCGGTGGATGGCTTGTGTGACCATTCTCTAAGTGAAGAAGGAGCGTTCATGTTCACATCAGAGTCGGTCGGAGAGGGACACCCAGGTGAGTAGGTGGCCGTGAGCCCATGGCAGCCGCAGCCAGGGGGGTCATTTCACAAGAGGCCTTAAAAACAGTTTGTGTTGGTTACTCTGTGGGACCTCTGGAGGCACAATATGAGGCGTTTTTCATTCTATTAATTTGTAGTTTTGTAAAACAGTCACTGAGTATGAAATGAGAAGTGGCGAGGTAATGAAGCCAAGGGCTCGTGCTGTGCCCACCTCTTCCACCCACAGCAGAGGACACACAGTGGGTTGACGGGACATATTATACATGGGATATTATATCATCAAATATCAACTTTATATATATTTTGGGGGGGCAGGGAGGATACAGCTTTATTATTGTTGAGCAACTCAAGTCAACAGAGAATCTTCCCTCAGACAAGACCACAGTCACTGAGTTTGGCATGTAAGGCACGTGCAGTCTAGGCATGAAGAGCACATTCTAGTAGTCGCTGAGATAGATTGCCAGGTCCTGAAGGCCTCAGGTGTGTTACCTGAGAGAAGTACAGGTGACCTCCTGAAGAGGAAGAACATTCGAGCAGTTTTTGGTGATGTGGGGAAACGGGAGAGGCTCACACATGCGAACAGTGAGGCCCATGATCAGAACCTCAGGTTGGAGATCAGTGGCTCTCAGACTTCAGGGATAATCGGCATCACCCGGTGGGCTTGCTAACACAGAGTGCTGCGCCCACCCCCAGAGTCTCTGATTTAGTAGGTCTTGGGTTAAGACCTTAAGAGGCTTAAGGTTTGCATTTTTAATAAGTCCTCTGCTGCTGTGAGAACCACACTCTGAGAACCACTGTTCTAGAAGAATCCTGGGGGCTAGACACACTGATTTATGTCTTTGAGCACGTCTTCAAAATTCATTTGAGTATTTGAAGTTTTGGTAACTTATCACCAAGGCTACCTTTTCTTCATTTTCCTCGTCCATGTTCTCTCATACCTCGTAACTCAGCTCTGGACATCTCCTCACACCCACCACTCCTTCCATATGCTTTAGCCAGTGGTTCTCAACAAGGGACGATGCTGCCCCTTTTCCCCTAAGGGCATTTTGTATTATCTGAATACATTTTTGGTTGTCTGTCATAACTCTGCCATGAGGGGTTGGGGTGCTACGGGCACTTAGTGGATAGAGGCCAGGTATGCTTCTAAACATCCTGAATGCACAAGACCCTCCCGCCGACAACAAGGAATTTTCCAGCCCCAAATGTCAACAGTACCGCTGTTGAGAAACCTTGGCTTAAGCTGGGTTTTGTAGGTGACTTAGCTCAATTCAAAACAAATAGCCTCTTTCATTGTGCACAACTTTTATAAAGTCTCTAGATCTATAATGCTCGTAACCTCAGATTCATTTCTGTGTGTAACACATGAAGACCATACATGGGTTAGGAGAAGGATTTGCTCCACTCAGAGGATGTGGACATGCATCCTTGACACACAGTGGCCAGTGCTCCCCTCGTACATACAGCAGTGTGCTCAGTGGACAGAGAAGAAAAATTCTAGCCAACCAGTTGGTAGTTCATGGTAGCCTTTCAGTTTGTCTGACTCTCCTTTCACTTGCCACAATCAATTAACTGTCCATGTAAGTCAGCTTCCCCTAAGGCTTGGTGATGGCTTGCTTGTCATTCCAGTGCTGACTTCTCCACCAGGAGGATAATATGAATGCTTTTTTCGACTTCCAAGAAAACCAGCTATTGACTACCTTAAAGCTACTGAGCAATATTGATAGAAATTCCGAAAACCTAAAGAGACTGTCCAGATAGGGCCTCCTTAGGCATTCCTTTAGTCTGTGGAGCTATCTTAACATTATTGCTTAGCTCCAGCTTTATCCCTAACACCCCTTATCCCACTGCCCTGTGTGGACTGAGTACATGTGACCTGCGTCCTTGAAGGAAGCAGAGTCAGCCATAGTCGGCTTGTGAGTAGCCCTAGGAGTCCCGCTGGGTAGGCCTAAAAGGGATATTTTAGCAGCAGGCCTTCATTGGTAAGCGTGTGCAGAGGTGGTGGCCTTGGACAAACCTAGGTTTACAACCAGGATCTGACAATGGGGGGAGGTTGCACAGAGAGCCTCAAGGTGTAGTAGCAGTTTCTGAAGGAAAGTTTAGAGAATTCACCTTGAATGGCAGATTAATATTTTAAGTTGCATTGACGTTAACATTTTAAATGGTGCACTTGTGAGAGCAGAACCACTTGATTCTGGATCTGAATCCTTAATATGAAAACTGAAAAGCTAAAACAAAACAGAAGGACACAAGGAAACTTTTGGAGGTGATGGATATGTTTATTACCTTGTTTATGGTGATGGTCACGTAAGTGTATTCGCATGTCCAGACTCCCCAAATTGTATACTTTAATTTTATGCAGATTTTTTGTACACCAATTATACCTTGATAAAACTGGAAAAAAAACCTTATTAATCTATTAAGAGCAAACTCTATGGGAACATTAAATGAGATGTAATATGTGTAAATAGATGTCACTTTTATTTCTGAAACTGAACAGTGACAGTTCACACAACCCCAACACAAGATTTTTCCACAGTGCAATGCATTGAGGGTCTGCAAGCTCAACCATGTAGAGTCCTTAAGGCAAGTAGTGAAAAAAGAAGATCAAATCCCAGCTTATGCTGAGCTGTTGTCAGTTCCACCTTGACTGAGGTCAAACCCAGCTATTAGAACATCTAGCCTTCAGGAGGCTGCGTGGCCATGGGCATGATCTGAGAGCTGCTTATGGAAATGTTCTGTAGAACAGCAGCGATGTATAGAGGCTCTCTTCTGGAATTCCTGTGGGTGGGGTGGTGGATTTGGGCGTAGCATCGTATATACAGTACACTGCAGCTTCTAGAACCTGCGGAGCAATGTATCTGTTTGTCCCATCTGATTTTACGTGTTGGCACCTAATCTCGCCAATGTTGTTAGCTATTTTAACTTCTATTTCTAGGAGTTTTCTAGATTTTAGACTTAAAGGGAATATCTTGAGGAACAAGAGGCTTTTTAGTAGGAGAATGTGTGTGTGTGTGTGTCTGTATGTCTGTCTATGTGTGTGTGTGTTTTTGGTGTGCATTGTGAATTGCTTTAGTCTCTTAGAACTGATTTTGGGATGTATTTCTTTTTTGGGGAACCCTATGAGTTTATCTAATATAAATCATCCAAAATTAGGCAGAAATGGGAAGAAATAAAAATTTCAAAAAGTTCTTAACTTTTTATGTTTAAAAAAGTGTCCTCTTAGGTAGGTGAATTTGATATGTAAACTTACCAAATACCTAATTATTTTAACATTTCAGTTTGTTATACCTAATATTTCTATGATTCTCACACATGTTCATTCTTGTGCAGACAAGATCTGTGACCAGATCAGTGATGCCGTGCTGGATGCCCATCTGAAGCAGGACCCCAATGCCAAGGTGGCCTGTGGTAAGAAACACCCGCTCCCTCCCTGCTGAAGACCTCAGCGGGCTGGGCTCAAGGCCTTTGCTGGTGCCTGTGCTGGGGCTCTGGGCACAGCAGGGAGTCAGGGGCCCCAGCGCCTGGGGGGCCCCCGAAGTGATCATGGGTGCAGCTGAATCAGGGCCTTGGCCAAGGTCACAGGAGAGGGGGTGCCTGCATGGAGACCAGAGCCCCCCTGTCCTCACTGTGTGCCGCACAGACGGCTTCCTCCCTCTCCAGCACTGCCCTAGCTTCTGCACTGAGCACCGCAGGGACCTGTGCCCTCTGAGGGTGGCCCTCACCCTGATATCTTTGTGACTAGCCAGTGAGAAGTTTGGCCCGCCTTGGTCTCAGGATCTCAGCCTGGTGCAGCGTTAGCAAGAAGGGGTGGGAGAGGCACGCGCATGCATTCTATGTGACAGCCGCCTACCCCCATGGTCTCACCCTGATCCACACAGCAGTCCAGTGGAACTGTGGTCTTCAGGTAGCAGACAGGGAAGCAGACTGAGAGAGGTTAAATAAGTGGTTCAAGATGACACGAGCAGGAGGTGGCTCGCTGGCTGCGAAGGCGAAATGTGACCCATTCTGTCCAAAGTGTAGTGCCCCGGGAGGGATCTACCCGTGCTCAGCACTTCTGCTGGGGTTTACTCTGTTTGTTAGCATTATTCTCTTATGTCCGGAATCCATGCTTTGTGAGACTCTTTGCGAGAGGTCTGGGAGGGGGGCTCCCCTCCGCTGGCTTGTGGCCACCAACTGTTCTCCCTGTCTCGCAGAGACGGTGTGTAAGACGGGCATGGTGCTGCTCTGCGGCGAGATCACCTCCACGGCCACGGTGGACTACCAGCGGGTGGTGAGAAGCGCCATCAGGCACATTGGCTATGACGACTCTGCCAAGGGTGAGGAGAGGCCCCGGGTCTGAGACGCGTGGGTGCCCCGACCCTGCGTCCGAGCTGAGGCTCTTGGTCCTCGGCTAGTGCAAATACCACCGGGAGGAAAACATTCCTAGACCCTCCTAGCAGGGTCAGGGGTCAAAGTCTCTGGCAACAGCACGGTGGCCCATGTGACGGCACCCAGTTGAACTACCCCGTGTCTGTCTGTCCGTCCATCCATTTCTGACTCTGGTCTTCGTGGTGCAGGCAAAGGCTTTGGAAGAGAGAAGCACCCACTGAGTAAGGGGAGCTGCCCCCTGCTGGGGACGTGTTCTCTGCCAGGCCCTGGGGCTGCTCCTTGCAGGTGTCCTTTTAACTGTTTGAGGCCCTCTGCCATACTCCTCCTGCAGATGAGGAAATTGAAGCTTGGGAATGTCCATAATTTGTGTAAGGTGACGGCCAGCAGGTGGCTGCCCATGTGGACTCCTGTGCTTTCTGCTTCCCTATGCTGCTTCTCATGATAGAGAAAAAGGCGACTCCGCCCAGAACCGGTACCCAAGGCCGGTGAAGGGGACAAGCTGGCTAAGGTGGGCTCCAGTGCCAGGCAGTGCGGGAGCCTGCATTCCAGGGAAGGGACACAGGCCCTGGCAGGAAGTGAGGAGGAGCGCCGTGATCAGGGCGGGCATGGGAGGAGACAGTTGGAAAGAACAGAAGGGCCCAAAGCGGATTCCAACATCTGAGACGGGGCAGGCCGGGAAGGGGCCCAGCCTGGAGCGGTCTCAGAGAACAGCATGTGAGAGCCAGATGCTGAAGGCCTGTGTGCACTGACCTCCCAGCTACTGGGTCTTTAGGGTGACATGCGCCGCCGCGTGGGTCAGGGCAGGCTAGAATGAGGCACTGCACCCATATGAGCGAGAGCCCCTCACCACTGAGGGTGCAGACACAGAAGCTCAGCGCAGCCGCCTTCGGAGCTGCCCAGAGCACTCATTTGAGCACATGAAAGTTTGGGGGGATCCATGTCAGGAATCAGCAGGAGGAGAACCAGTGAGCACAAGCAGAATCTCCCAGTCAGTGCACAAGAGTGTTCATAGAGGAAACGCTCTGTCCCCAATCAGCAGCTTCCCCACATGCCACCCTGCAGAGCCTTCACCGTGTTCTACAAGGAAAAGCCGATTGTTTACATACGTGTAGACCTTATTCAAGAGCAAGTCTTGTTCTGTACTAGGTGGAAAGGAGACTTCCCAGGAGGCCATGTCTCCTAGAGAAAGAGAAGCGAAAGAGAGCCCAGCTCTGCTGTGCCCAGCTTGTCCCCGTGCCCGCACCCAGAGGACCCTGTGCAGCATGGTGGCTGCCCTGCGGGGGGGGGGGGGCAGGCTAACTGCCCCTTACGGCTCTGGGCCATAGTCACTGGACTGGCTGCCTTTCTGAGCCCTGTTCCTCTCCCCTTGGTCCCCTGAATGCCGTTTCCTAATCACTCGGAGCCCTTGATGGAGTTGCAGAGCTGAGAAGATTCACCATTTAGAGAGTGATTAGGAAAAATGCAAAATGTTTAATGCACCATGGTGAGTCCTTGGCAGCCCTCTAAAGATGGTTCATTGGTTTGTGCATCCAAAAGTGTTTGCTGGGAACAGGAAGCTGCAAGGGACAAAGGCGTCCTGATGCTCCCGGAGTGGGGGCACTGCCTGGCATTAAATGGTGCAGTATGAGGTGCCCTGTGGCCAGCCGGTGGCACAGTGTGCAGTGAAGGGAGGGAGGGGGAGGGGACGCCTAGGGACATTTACTGAGAACTGGTTGAATTTGGGTGTGTGGGGATGGGGAGTCAGAAGAGGAGGGGGATTATTCTACACCGAGACACCTAGTGGAGGTAGAAAAGCCAGCCACGCTGAAGGCTACACCTAAGCGCATTTGGCTAGAGCGGTTCAGCGGGGAGGGGCTGGGCGGGGCCTCGGGGCTTGGCCTCTGCTTCATTTGGCGGGAGGTCCCCATGTGAAGCATGTACAGAAACAATAGACTGGATCTGGGTTGGTTGGTTGGTTGGTTTTAGTAAGCTCACACTGGCAGCCTAGGTTGAATAGACTGGCAGGAGAGTGACAGCTACTCAGCTTGTCACTAACACTTGACCTTGTGGTGGAGCCTCTGTCAGTTTCAGCCCCTCATTCACGCAGTCCGCATAGCTGAGCCCAGCAAGGCCCGAGGACCTACAGGGAGATGAGTGTGCTGTCCAGGCGTGGCAGCCCCTTCCTGGGCTCCTTGGGCTGGGCAGCCACTGGCCAAACCTCCGTGAACCAGTTCCGGGCCTGCAGCCCCTTGCTGGAGAGAACAGCCTCCATCTCTGTGCCTGACCTTTGGGGATGGGCAGATGGGGCCTCAGCCTCCAGAGGGGTGCCTTTTCCATTTTGCTCCAAGCCCTGTGCATCGCCTGGGATCAGAGGACTCTAGGTCTGGGAGCATGTCTGAGTAGTTTCTGTGCGCTGTATTTGTCCAATATATTTAATATCTGCATCAGGCACATCCCTGGGCTTCTGAACTGCAGTGCTGGAAGGCGATTTTCAGCCTAGATCTTAGAAGGTGCCTAAGGGGGCAGGGCCATGAGTCACCCCCACCTGCTCTTCAGCCAGAGTAGCTGTAGCTCTTGATCTGGTTTTTATACTGCAGTTCTGTGCAGGATACATATATATATATATATATATAAAAAAAAATATATATATATATTAAGATTTTATTTATTTATTTGAAAGAAAGAGAGAGCGCACGAGAGAGAGCATGAGAGGGGAGAGAGTCAGAGGGAGAAGCAGGTTTTGCACTGAGCAGGGAGCCCGACGTGGGACTCGATCCTGGGACTCGGGGATCATGACCTGAGCTGAAGGCAGATGCTTAACCAACTGAGCCATCCAGGTGCCCTAGGATATATATTTTTAATCTGGGTATAATATAGTAAATATAGTAAAATGCACTGTGGAGGATTTTCTTTGACTTAGAGTTCTAGATGATCATATGGGAAGGGTGCATGGGCTTCCCCACCCCTGGGCCTCAGCTTTGAGCCCAGACAGACCCCAGCTGGTGAGAGACCACCCGCCCCAACACCAAATGCCACGTCAGGAGTGGAGCAGTCGGCCAGGAAGCTCACAGCCATGCTCTGCCTGACCTGTGTCCCCACTAAGCCCCCCTCTCCCTTCTGCCTAGGCTTTGACTTCAAGACCTGCAACGTGCTGGTGGCTCTGGAGCAGCAGTCCCCGGATATCGCCCAGGGCGTACATCTGGACAGGAGTGAGGAGGACGTCGGGGCCGGAGACCAGGTAACTAAAGGGGGCGTGGGCGCCTTGTCAGGCCGTCGGGATGGCACTGCCTGTCTCCTCCCTGGCTCGGACCCCCGGGAGGGGCTGGCTGGGAGAGTCATGAGTGCTGGACTGAGCACAGTCCCGTGCGGGTGGTGCGTGCACGAGGGACCCAACACACTTGGCCGGAGTAGCAGCCAAGTGTTAGACCGGCAGCAAGTTGTCCCGTGATCTAAAGTGGGCCTTGCTCAGTCGGCCCTCTCCCCTGCTCTAGGGTTTGATGTTCGGCTATGCCACCGATGAGACGGAAGAGTGCATGCCCCTCACTGTTATCCTGGCTCACAAACTCAACGCCCGGATGGCAGACCTCAGACGCTCCGGGGTCCTCCCCTGGCTGCGGCCTGACTCCAAGACTCAGGTGAGCCTCCTCCTTTCGCTCCCCCGTGGAGCCCCAGACGCGCCCTTCCAGCGCCCCCAGACCCTCTTGATTCATGTCATGATTAAGATCAAAATGTTCAGTCAGGACACTCAAAGAATTATTGATTGTGAAAAGAACTATTTATTTGAAAACTCTTCAGGTCTAGATGTTTTCTCTCCCAATTTTTTTTTATTATGAAAAAATGTTTAAAATACAGAAAAATGGAAAGAACCGTTCTAGATTTTTCTTTTTTGCCTTCTTAGCAGATGTTGACTCTGGTCATGTGATTTCCTGGCTCCTGCCACACGGTGCTTAATCAGTTTCAGACTTTCGGTCACTGCCCTTCCACCTCACAGGCCTCCACCCCTTGAGCAAAGACTAAACACTAGTTGACAAGTGTTGTCTGCGTCTCACTGTGGCCCTTTACCCCTGTTTCTCATAAAAAGGCTTTCCCTTTGCTGTTTCGGACTCTCTGTCCCCTCGGGCCCTAACATCGCCCCTCCAGGCAGTGGGGAAGTCCTCACCAACGTCCACATTTGAAGGTCAGCCGTGATGCAAGAGTTAGCCGACGTGGAAGGGCCCTGTCTGCCTCCACGCTCCGCGTCCCTGCCCTGTTTAACCCTGGTGACCTTGCGGGCCCCTTTCCTGGGGCCTCCTCCCCTGGCTCCTCTTTCGCCCTCCAACAGGTCCTTGGCACCTCTTGCACACCCTCTCCCTCCACCCACGCTCACACCTAATTTCTACCGTGTCCCACTCAGCGCCCCAAGCTTCTACCTGCAGGGTCTCTGAATCAGCGGCCGTCTTTCTCATCCACCCTGCAAACACCCGTGCCCGAGAGCCATCGTGTGCAGCTTCAGTGTCACCTCCTCCTCAGCTCAAGGGAGTGTGGTGGTGCCCCCCCTCCTGCTCGGCACCCTCTCTGTCTCCACCCTGCCTTAGGCATTCTCCCTCCAGAGCATCTCTTCTTCTCCAGCTTGGTTCCCAGGGCCAGGATCCGCATCGTGCCCTCCCGAGGATTCTCCCTGCCTGGAAACCCCCCTTAACTCCTTTTGGACTTTTAATTTCTTTTTTTTAATTATTATTATGTTCAGTTAGCCAACATATAGTAGAATCCTCAGCAGTTTTCTGCTTCCTACAGGGGGACAAACCCCCTGCTTGTTATTCTGGTATTCCAAGCCTTTTATGGTCTTCCGGGTTTACCTTCCTCTACCTCCCCTCCCCCAGTCTGCTTAATCTGGCTGATTTCACTCATGTTCCCCTTGATTCCAGTGCTTTGCACCTGTGCTCGCACCCTCCACCTTACCTGGAATCTTCTCGGTTCTCCCCTGTCCATGAGTGGCCAGCAAAGCCCCCACCTCCTGTGGTTTTCCCTGGTGGCCGCCACCTCACGGGGCCTTCTCTGGCTCCTGTAGTTGGAATTCAGCACATGCGGTTGTGTAGCTCAGCATGGAGCACGTGACTGTCCTGTTACCCCACCTGCACCGAGGTGCATCCTTCCCAGCCCAGGTGGGAGGCCTCACAGAGGGCAAGGAAGTGCATTTGCGGTCTCAAGCTAACCCTTTGTGGTGTTCTCCACGTGACCCCTCGGTGGGGAGTGGAACCATCAGCACTCCTCGGGTTCTCTGAGGTTGTGGCGCAGGGGAGCTATCATGCAAAGACTGTGGTGGCATCAAAAGAGAGGGGCACACAGATGCTGGCGCGCCTGGCCCCCGTCCTGGGCCAGAGCCGTGCTGTGACGGGAAGTGCGGTGGAGATCCACGGAGCACAGAATCAGTGGAACAGGGGTGGGAGAAGCCGAGCGACAGGGCTTTGCTTTTCCTTGTGTGACAGGGAGGCCCGGAGGCACCGCCATGGGACCGGACGAAACAGGGAAGGCCTGCATCATCTCGCTTAGTCCTTGAAGTCTTCCAAGCCCACGGTGGGGGGTGGGGGCGAGGATGTGCTCTTCTGGGGGCTCCCTTCCTGCAGGGCTACACGGAAACCTCTTAATGCTACTTTGGACACCGAAATCCGCCTCACTGGCCTGCTGCAAGGTGGGGGGCGAACCCCTGGCATTGCAGACACACGGGTAGGGGTCTGCCCCGGCCGTCCGAGGGTCCCCGCCTGCAGCTGCTTCACTGTGCACCGCACTGTGTCAGGACCGGTTTCCGGGCCGGCTCCAGAGCCCATATGAGAAGGACTTTCATCATCTAAGCAGAGTGTTGACTGTGAACAGGATGAGTCTTTCCACCTGAACAAACTCTTGCTGCTGATATGGAGACTTGAGTGGCAGTGCGGATGGCTATTTTTATACCTGGTCAGAGTTGTGTTTTCCGTGGTGTATTTTTCCCCACATCTTGCTGACATGGAGAGATAAGGGGCGTACTTGGAACCCTTTGCCCTGCTGCAGTTGTGTGGTTCTACATGGATGCTGCCTGGGGCTTACAGCTGGCCGAGTAGGAAGTCCAGGGAGCGGGGGAGTGGTCCCAGAGCGGCTACAGGCCTCCCCTCCTGGGAGCCCCTACCCCAGCTCTGGCTCCCTGTCGCAGCTGTGTGTACGTAGCCCAGCATTTAAAGGTTGTTCTCTGTACGCAGATGTTCATGCGCACCTGCCTCTTGCGCTAGGATCAGACATCATGTGGGCAGGGCTCATTCTCTTCCTCCTTCTGGACTCCACCCTCTGGTTCTTTGAACCAGGCAGGACACAGAGTAGTAGTTTGGAACAGGCTGGTGTTTGGTGGATATCGGAGGGCCCTTGGGCAGGCGGAGATCCTGCTGCAGGCACAGCCCCGGGGAGGCGCTGTTGGCTGTCCCGAGGTCCTCTCAAGGCCCTGGGGCAGGGTGTTGCTACCAGGGACAGCTGGCCTAGTCGCACTCCTGCAGCCCCCACGTACCCCAGGCCCCCCCACCCCGGTGGGTCCACACTGCCTCGGGGGGCACTGGGGCCTGTGGCTCCTGCGTGTCCCTCAGGGCCCTGAGTGGCAGCCTTCTGCTGGGCAGAGCCCCAGCTACGGGGCCACGTAGCCCCAGGGCAGAGCCCAGCTCTATCAGCTGTGTGATCTTGACCAAGGTACTTAGGTTCTGAAGGCTCAGCTCTCCTATCTTTAAAACAGGGTGAGCAACAGCTTCCCACAGCTTTGGGCACCTCTTCTAGCTGCTTTCCCAGCTTCACCTGCTGTCCTCACTGTCTCCTTCGCTCTCGCTCTGCAAGCCTGGTGTGCCCAGACTGGTAATGCCCAGAACGGGCACAGCACTGACCCAGGTGGGTAGAAGTGAGCATTCGAACTGCTCCCTTGCAGGGGTACTGCAGGTGGGCTCCTTCCCTCCACGTGCTCTCTGCTTTTCCTTTCTTTAGCTCAGACACCCAGAGGCTGGCCATCCGGAGCTTGCTGCCCCCTCAATTTCAGCCAGCCTGACCCGAGCCCCTCTCACCCTGTCCCTCCAGCAGGCAAGTCCCCTGGCCCCATGCACTTCCAGAGCTCTTCCACTGAGGGGCTGGGGCAGCCGGCCTGGCCCGTGGAGGCCTGTGCTCTTTGGCAGAAGCTGGGATACCTTGGCTCCAGGCCGTGGAGTGTCAAGAGAGGGCTTTGGCCAGGGGGACATTTGTTGGCACCCAGAGCCCTCTGAGACAGAAGGGGAGGAGTCTAGTTGGGTCACAAATGAGAGGAAACTCTGTAACCCTGAGTCTCTAAGGGGCACTAATAGGGGTCATAGGTGGGAATAGCTTATGCCTCATACCCAGTCATCCCATACATAGCACGTGGCAATTGCTCAAACATAAGAAGATGTCAGATTAACTTTCCTGGAGGCCCTTGGAGGACAGGAGGCCCCCCTCACTTGGCTCCTGGGTGTCTGTCCCTGGCAGCGATGTGTCCCCAGCTCAGTGCATCTCCTGACCTTGTGACCCAACAGGTGACAGTTGAGTACACCCAGGACAATGGCGCGGTCATCCCTGTGCGCATCCACACCATCGTCATCTCCGTACAGCACAACGAGGACATAACCCTGGAGGACATGCGCAAGGCCCTAAAGGAGCAGGTGATCAAGGCCGTGGTGCCCGCCAAGTACCTGGACGAAGATACCATTTACCACCTGCAGCCCAGCGGGCGGTTTGTCATTGGCGGTCCCCAGGTGCGCCCTTGCCTCTGAGCAGAGTCCTGATTTGCCTTTGTTACTGCGGTTGCTTACTTGCCGGAGCACAAAGGAGGAGGTGGCTTTGTGTGGCTCAGCCACGTCTGGGCCTGGGCAGAACATGAGGTCGGCTCGCACTCCGTGGGGCCTGCTGTGTGTGCGTCAGTGCATGCGGAACTGGGACATGTCCCCAGAACCCTCCCACCTAGTGCGGCCCAGCCTCCCCTGGTCATACTTGCCTACGCTGCTACCTCGCCCTGCTGAGCTGCCAAATCACCCTTGCCGATGACCGGCCTCCCCAGGTGGCAGTACGGGGTCTTCGCCACAGGTTGCCTTCAACTTGCGTGGGGGCAGGTGTTTCGATGGGGACCCCTGCTGCCCCCTTTCTTCTCTCTCTCCAGGAGAGAGGAAGTGGGGATTGGCAGAGCACCCCGGAGAGGCTGCTTGACCTCTGCCAGGGGTGCCTCAACTGGGGATGCGTTGCCACCAAGCGGAGCCCCCGTAATGGGTTCCATGACCAAATGTCTTGCAGAAACACAGGGTAAAAGGAAGGCAAAGCTTACTGTCCTTTCTTGTAGGACTTCTCAAAGCCTAAATGTGCTGGTGGGAATGGTGGGTCTCTAAGCAGGGGGATAGAGTATGCAGTCTTTCCCCAAAACACTGAACACGGAGCCCCTGCCCTTTCAAAACATGGTGGTTGCCTGATGCTGCACAGAGCAGACACGGGAGGAAATGGGCACCGTGGCATGTGCCGGGTGCCACCAGCCAGGGCCACAGCCTGGGGTGTACTTAGCACAGTTCCTGCCTGCAGTTGGATTTCTCCAGCATGACTGACTCACAAAAACAAAGACTGAAGTAGAAACTGGCTGGGATTCCAGCCTCTGGCCCATTGTTTGCACTTTCTCATGGGGCTCTGGCAGGTTACCTGGCTTCTGGAATTGGTCAGTGACTGAACTGGGGTTAAAGACCAAGGTTTCCAGCTCTGGGGGGCAGGGCAGGTCTTGAAAAAATGCCCGCAGGCAGCTTCAGGGCACCCTTTCCACGTAAGCCCAGCGGCCTTCAGCGTGCTCCGGCTGCCCTCCTGCCCTGCTCTCTGCGCACTCCGGTTCTTATCTCCTCCCTCCCTGTCCTCCTTTCCCTCTGCAGGGGGACGCGGGCGTCACTGGCCGTAAGATTATCGTGGACACCTATGGCGGCTGGGGGGCGCACGGTGGCGGGGCCTTCTCTGGGAAGGACTACACCAAGGTGGACCGCTCGGCGGCATACGCGGCCCGCTGGGTGGCCAAGTCCCTGGTGAAAGCGGGGCTCTGCCGGAGAGTGCTCGTGCAGGTGGGTGGGCCCCACTCTGACCACCCCATCTCGGCCCTGGGTGAGGACCTGCTGGCCCGGTGGGACGCCCACACACTTTGCCAAGGGCACTGGGGCGCGTACCCTGAAAACCTGAGGGAGGGAAAAAAATCTTCTAGGAGACAGGCATACATCACTGTGAAGATGGTGGGGATTTTTCTAGGCAGACAAGGTTGGGGAGCATGTTGGGCAAGTGGGTGGCTCCAGCTGCCCCTCCCTGAGGATGTTTGCACAGAGGCTTCTGCCCCTGACCCTGCTCTCTTCTGGAAGGTTTCCTATGCCATTGGTGTGGCTAAGCCACTGTCCATTTCCATCTTCACCTACGGAAGCTCTCAGAAGACAGAGAGAGAGCTGCTAGATGTGGTCAGTAAGAACTTTGACCTTCGGCCTGGTGTCATCGTCAGGTAAAAGCGCCGCCCACCGCTGCCGGACAGGCCCCTCCTCCTCCCTCACCCAGAGGCTCGGTTCCACTGGAAGCGAGACAGAAGGAAGGACTTTCAGCCTCCCCAAAGCAGGAGGGCGTCCAGGCTCCTGGACCGGCACATCAGACACCCCAAATGCAGGATGCCTGCTTTCAGGCTGAAGGAGGCTGGCCCCGAGACACTCCAGTGGGGCCGTCTTGGGGCAGGTGGTGGGGGAGGGTCATAGAAAAGTAATCGTAAAGCCGAATGCTGAGAAGTGAGCCAGCAGATCTAGTCCCATCTCCCTTTGTTTCTAATGCCATCCCTGCTTTCTGGAGCTTGGTGATGTTGGTCTGCGCCAGGCCAGTGGAGTGGAGAGGAGAGAGGCACGGTGAGGCCAGAATTCAAATTCTGGGTCCTGGGTGTGTCTGTCTGAGCCTGTTCCCTGAGGGCCAGTGACAGTCATCTCAGAAGGTGTGGTGGGGCACAGACAGGAAGTTTATGGGAAATTGCTCTGAGTGGGGACACTCCATGCAGAGACCATCACACTCTGATAATCACTGCTGGGCTCAAAATGCAGAGAAACTCTGTGCTCCTTTTCCATTTAAAATGACCCTTTCCTCTGCTGACTGTGCAGGGATTTGGATTTGAAGAAGCCCATCTACCAGAAGACGGCGTGCTATGGCCATTTCGGAAGAAGCGAGTTCCCGTGGGAAATTCCCAAGAAGCTTGTGTTTTAGAGCTGGTGGGAGTGGGGCCGGGCCTGGCTCTGAAGGCATCTGGGTGGCCTGCTTCCTCTTCTTCAGCATCCCAGCTCTCACATGTCCCAGACCCAGGGCTCTGACTGCCCTCCCAGGGAGTGCCTTCCCACCCCCCACCCCCTCCTGGACCGAGCCACATCCCTAGGGTTAGCCCTGTGCTGTCATCACTGTGAATGGCAGGAGGCTTGCTGGTGCTGGGGGTCACATCTCCTCAGGAGGGTGGTCACAATGTTCCCCTGCTTTTCCCTCAGACCTAGGCCATGTTCATTTAGTGGAAAAACCATCCCTATCAAGAGTAAATCCCCTCACTCACCTCCCCCGTGAGCGGTCCGCTCCTCCCTCACAGATCTCAGGGATCCTGGGTGTGCCGGGTCAGCCCTTCACATCTGTGGCCTGTGTCCTAAGCCAGGGCCTTCACAGAGGCCTCCCGGGCTAGGCATCTGGCCAAGATAGGAACAGGGGCTGACATCTCCTAAGCGTCTACAAATGTGTGAGGGACTGAGCTAATTACTGATCTCATTTCTTCTTCACTGCCACATGATGAGGTTAACACCTCATTCCCACTTCTATAGGGGGAAACTGAGGCACAGACTACGTAGGTAACTTCCCCAAGGTCCCATAGCCACACGTGTCAGGACCTAGACATGAGTCACGGAGCTCTGACTCAGGAACGCCCCCCAGCCCCGTTGCCATCTCATGCCAGATGCAGGCCTGAGCAATGACAAAGCAGATTTGAGATGAAGCTGTGTGACCTCTGCCCTGAAGACCTGAGGTTGCTGCGATTAGGGGATTAACCCCTGGCTCTTGGTGAGCCCAGTGATATGCAAAGTCAGGACAGAGAAGCTCAGGTGGCCAGCTCAGGTGGCTAGCCCCTTAGGGCCCCAGAACCCTGTGTCCTTCAAGTCCTTCTCTCTCTTCAGCCTCGTTGTCTGAGCCCTACTATATACCCACTATTAGAATAAGTGGGTGAGGGTGCCTGGGTGGCTCAGTCGGTTCAGCGGCTGCCTTCGGCTCAGGTCATGATCCCAGGGTCCTGGGATCGAGTCCTGCATCGGGCTCCCTGCTCAGTGCAGAGCCTGCTTCTCCCTCTCCTTCTGCCATTCCCTCTGCTTGTACACTTCTGTCTATCTCTCTGTCAAATAAATAAATAAAATCTTAAAAAAAATAGAATAAGTGGGTGAGCCCCTCAGATGCCCCTTTCGGAGAGGCCAACTGTGAGGCCCAAACATCTGTGATCCAGATGGCAGGGCTGAACTCCTAGTGGTAGACAAGTTGGCTGGGATGTCATGAGGGAATCCTGCCTTGCCAGGTGGCTTCTGGGCCACAGTACCCACGGGGCCTGAGTGTTCCTCGGTGTGCTAGGGTCTTGGAAGCTGCACATTCACCTGCCTTTCCATCCTTGGCCAGCACTACCTACCCGCCTGTCCTCAGCCTGGGCCTCTGACAGCAGCATCTCGGCCTTCTCCCTAGCTGCCCAGACCACAGGCTGGGTGGGGGCCTCCACAGATCCCAAGAGCTGGAGACTGGGCTTCTTTCCAGGGCGTGTGATGCTGATTCTGGCTGGGACAGGCAGCCCACGAAGCCTCATCTGGGGAAAAGACTGCCAGCATCTGGGCTCTAGGCCTGAAGCACAAAGACCCGAGGCTCTTCTCTTTCCGTCAGAGAAAAGGCAGCCCTTCCGGGAAGAAAAAAGAAGCCCAAATTTGCATCTAAGCCTAGAGCTTGTGTCTGTTCTGGAGGCTCTGGTGTGTCTGCGGGCACCAATCACCCAGCAAGCCTCAAGCTCTCCTTCCAGGAGAGGGAGGTGCAGGTTTGTGGGCAGCGAGTTCCTCTCACTCAGGCCATATTAGAAGTCAAAATTCACAATTGTATACTTTCCCCACTCCCTAGAGAAACAAGATCTTTTTTTGGTGTCAACATTGTTTATAAGAATCTAGAACCTTTTTTAATAGTTCCTGCTACAACAGGATAAATCAAACGGAATAAACAGCCCTTCAGTGAGTCAAACTGAAAGAACAACTACTCTATGCTTAGTTTTTGTCTGCAAACCTCCAGACACCCCACCTCTGAGGAGCATCCCCCAGCCCTGAGCAAAGGGGTGGTACCCCCTGCTCTGTGTTCCCCCACCCACGGTCCCCTGTTCCTGTCTGTGTGGGCTTCTCCGGCATAGATTAAGGCTTCCACATCCCCAGCGACTGCGTTGTCACCACATTTCTGTATTTGTTCCTCACCACACCCAGCTGAGTTTCATGGGGAGAACCTGAGGCCCAGAGGGTGAGGAACGTGACCCAGGCACCCGGCTGGCAAGGGGCTCCCCAATCTCCCAAGCGCTCCATTACCATGTGCTACCGCCCCTCGGCCTGGTGCCCTCCCTGCAGATTATCTGCAGCAAGACTGTCATGAGGGGGGCATTCAGGCCATGTTGTCTGTTGGCTGAATCACTGAAGTCAAATGAAGGGAGTGAAGGAGGGTTTTTGTCTGCAGAGAGATGAACCAGACCTTTAAACAGGTTTAAAGGGGCACATCCCCCTTTCACACACTGTGTGAGGAGAATTAACAGGTGACATTTGTATTAGCAGACTGTGGGAGCAGAAGCCCCTGGAAAGAGAGTCCTTGGCGGGGTGGGGGGATGCTTTCTGCACTGTGTCCTACAAGCAGGCTGTGGGGAGAGGACCCCGCTCCGGAGAAACATCCAGGTCCAGGCTGAGGAGAAAGCCATGTGAGAAGGCTTTGAGATGGGCTGGTCCAGGTGCCAGGAAGGGCAGAAGTGCGGCTGAGACCTGGGAACGTGGCAGAGAGGCAGAGAAAGCCAAAGGCCACAGGCTTGCATGAGACAGAATCAGTGACTTGAGCAGCAACTACAGGGGCCATGCAGTGACCTGCTTTTCCTAGAATATAATCCACGTTTCATAAGAACAGAAAAAGACACCCGTGAAACATTGGAATGCTTGCCTGAGAGGGAAGGCGGTGAAGGAATGGGCTTTATGGGCATCAAAGGCCAAATGATGAGTGAGAGC